TGGAAGCTCGGACTTGGGGGGCGAGGTGGGGCAAGGTCAACATACGTAACCTAAACATCTGTACCCCCATAATATGCTGAAATCAAAAAAATATTCACTGACACCCGGGCGTGGTGGCTCACGCCTATCATCCTAGCACTCTGGGAGGCCGAGGCAGGAGGATTGTTCGAGGTGAGGAGTTTGAGACCAGCCTGAGCAAGAGCGAGACCCCCGTCTCTACTAAAAATAGAAATAAATTATCTGGACAATTAAAAATATATAGAAATAATTGAAAGTGAAGCCCTCAAGATTAATCATATGCTAATTATAAATAAACCTTCCCTCATTCACTCATTGTATATTCCAATAGCTACACAAATATGTCTTTCCCACTAGATCTAAATTCTATGAAGGCAAGAATCAAGTCTATCTTGTTCACCGCTGTATCCATAGTGCCCAGCATAATCACTCAGTAAATACTTGCTGATTAAACAGAGGACGACTGCAGCCAAGAAAATTCATCTTTCCTGCTAGGTCATTAAAAAAATTCTAAGATAAATGGAAATAACAGATCATCATTAGCTCTCTTTTCCAAAAGCAAAGCTTTTCATATTCACACATCCATACCTTCGACTGTGGTAACCAGAGGAGGATTAACCATGAAGCTAATAAAGCTTAAATTTTATGACCATTCATGTATACATATTCCTTACAAGACCCTAAACCTAATTTTGTATGCCTTATGTTATATTCTTTTTTTTAAAGAGCTCCCCTCTTGGTAAAGTATATGACCTTCAAGTCCAACAAAATTTGGACCTGCCCTTTGTTATAACTACCTTTATAATAAAAGCTGGTAAAACTCTCATGGATATACAAAGCAGATGGCTGAAACAGAAGGAAAGTTTAATATTATAAAATCAATTGCATATTCTAAAAAGGAAATTAAGGAAGGTTATTAAAAAGCAGAAAGTAAGAAATAGAGTGTAATAATATTAGGAATCTAAGAAAATCATATGATGAAATAAAAAAATATTCCCCTACAACTAAGTATCTAATAAGAAGCTTTCTGACCACATCAAAAGAGACACAAAGCCTTACAAATACATTGGTTAGTAAGACAAAAAAAGCGTCTAGTAAAAAGGTTTAAAAAGTAACTTGAAACAATCCTTGAAAAGAAATAAGACTGAGGGTCATGGAAGAAAAAGAGGTCAAATTTAACCTGGAGATAAAAAGCTACAACCTCCAGCTGACTCCTTTGATTATTTCCAAATGGCAATCAAAGTCGGCAGCTGTTTTTCTCTTTAACATTTGAAAAGACCAGCTGAAAATAAGATATTATGATTCCGAAAAGCAAAAAAAGTCTGCAGACATTTTTTCCTGACAACTAGAATAAGTATGTGCTATTCCAACCAAAACAGTGATATACACTGCAAGTGGACCAAAAGGGGAAGGGAGAAAGAGGAAAATAATAGGTTGGAAATAACACAGCTTCTAACAAAAATTATAGATAAGATCGATACAATTATGCAATTTAATAAAAATTTCTCTGTTCAAATCCTGCTTAACACTACCACTACTGAATTTTTAGGATAATTTAATACAACATTAGGATTTATTAAAGATGATGTTCAAACGCCTGATCACAAACTCATTCATATTCACATAGAAGTAAATGGCTTGTTGTTATAAAACTAAAAATAAATTATTTTGCATAAATATAATATGCTTTTATAATGTGAATTAATGTGAAATTAAAATGATTAAATGAGACCAGTATTGATATTGCCTTCAAGGAAAGGGTGACATTTCAGCTATACCTGTAAAAATAAAACTCAGTCGTTCATTGTGTTGGTGAAAGGCAGAAGTGTGTAAAGAGGGAGAAAGTGGGAGCAGGGTTAGCTGTTAAAGAATGGAAAACAAAAGATATATAGATATATATATAGAGAGAGAATATAGATATGTGTGCATATTTGCAAAAAGAACAGAGCTATAGTTGCTGTGAAACATCATATCTACATTGGAACTGTCCAACTTTGATTTATATTTAGTAAACAAAACCTCCCTCAAGTAAAACTTTATTCAATTTATTATCAGAATGTAAAGACCATAGCTCTATTTTTTAAAATTATGACATTGTTTTACAAAAAGGAAAGAAAAAATATGTATATTTTTACAGAAAGAAATAATATGTATATACTGACTTGTAATTTTTCCTGAAAAAAGTATGTTTAGTCAATAAAAGGCAATCCACTGAAACCTTACATAGTAATATGTAAAAGGACAAAAGAAAATCCTTAAAATTATCACTCTTCTCAAGCAAAAAACCTTAGCAAAGATAGTAACAAAAAATCAATATCCAGATTACCTTGGCTGGGGTATGAATCCATATAGCAGGGTTAAGAAGAATGTGATCACACAATTGCTTCAGTAGGGGCATCCCATTCTGCAGATTACTCAGATATTTTGAAAATGCAAGGCAAAGTTCAAGTACTCCTCTGCTGACATGAGATTTGGAAGACTGCAAAAAAAGTAGTTCAAAGATTACTATTATTACTAATTCAAAATAAGGCAAGTAAATTACAGGCTGTCAATACCAGAAAAAATTTGGCCCACGAACTATGCTCAAAGTTAAATATGCTATTAAGCTCACTACCAAATTTCTTTAATAGAGGAATGGAGGCAAGGTAAAACAATAAAATGTTATTTTAATTTAGGTAATTTTCTATAACCAAGGAGACATATTTGCAGACAGGGTTCCTTAGTCACTTAGAAGAACAAGTACATGGCCTACAAATTAAGAATCAAAGACACAAAATTATTTCATACTTTACCTTTTCAAGACTATATCCTATTACCAAGAAGCCCTTACAGGCAAGCATCTGCTCCTGCATAGCAATTGAGTTCTTCAGCAACTCCATGATAAAAGCTAGCAAGGTTGAACTAGAATAAAAAAAAAAGGCAATGGCTTGAAAAAAAAAATTTTATTTTTAAAAATTAGGTTAGATAGATGTAGCCTTCCATTTACCTTAATAGAAAGTTCTCCATTTCAAAGAAATTGAAGTACCAATAAAACTGCCTACAACATTAAATCAGAACTAGACTTTTAATGTAGGATTAGAATTTACTCAAATATTTATTTCATATACTTTATCAAAACATATTAATAGGCAAATTACTTAGAAATAATAACAAATATACATGATATAAAGAAAAATGAGCAATGTCCAAAAACAATAGAAATAGTTAATAAATATATATATTAAGGCCTTAAAGAATAGATATAACTTAGATAAGCAAGTATATTCAATTTTGAAGAGTTAAGGGTCAAAAGGAGGGAAAAAATAGTGGAGCAAACAGACTAAAGTACAAATCCCCAAAATGTGTTAGAGCAGCAGTCCCCAACCTTTTTGAAACCAGGTTTCATGGAAGAAAATTTTTCCACAGACCAGGGCAGTGGGTAGGGGGCAGGGGAGATGGTTTTGGGATGATTAGAGCGCATTACATTTATTGTGCAGTCAATCAAACCTCTCTGCTAATGATAATCTGTTCTTGCAGCCATTCCCCAAAGCTAGCATCACCACCTCAGCTCCACCTCAGATCATCAGGCATTATATTCTCATAAGGAACATGCAACCTAGATCCCTCACATGCGCAGTTTACAGTAGGGTTCACACTCCTATGAGAATCTAATTACTGCCGCTGATCTGACAGGAGGCAGAGCTTATGCAGTGATGCCAGCAATAGGGAATGGCTGTAAATACAGATGAAGCTTCACTTGCTTGCCTGCCGCTCACCTCCTGCTGTGCAACCTGGTTGCTAACAGGCCACTGGTACCCAGGCCACAGCCTGGAGGTTTGGCACTGCAATGTTAGGGGTCCAGACTGGCCTAATTGGAATAGAGCAGAGGGTACATGAAGGGGAAGATAAGAAAGTAAAGTTAACTTGGAGACAAACTTGAGGTCCTTGAACACTAATTTAAGAAGTTTGTTCACTATCCCAACAAACGAAATCGTAATTCTCCAGTCAGTCTTGAAGACTTAAAATTGAATAGGGACAACAACCATACTCCACTACCCATAATTTTTAGGGACACTGAAAAGGGAAAGGAATAAGATCAGCTGTTCAGAGGCTCTGAGAGATTCCCGCAAAAAAAAAGAGAAAGTATGACTGGCAGCCAATCTCCTACTTCATCAGTGCTTTAACTGCCAGCAATTCCAAGAAAGAAAAGAGAGAAGAGAAGAGAAGAGAAGAGAAGAGAAGAGAAGAGAAGAGAAGAGAAGAGAAGAGAAGAGAAGAGAAGAGACGAGACGAGACGAGACGAGACGAGACGAGACGAGACGAGACGAGACGAGAAGAGATGAGACGAGACGAGACGAGACATGAAATGAAATGAAATGAAATGAAATGAAATGAAATGAAATGAAATGAAATGAAATGAAATGAAAAGAGGGGAGGAAGGGAGGAAGGGAGGGAGGAAGGGAGGAAGGGAGGAAGGAAGGAAAGGAGGAAGGCAAGAAGGCAGCCTTGTTAGAGCAGGACCAAAAAAATTCTATGAAGTATTAATATGTCAAGGGTAATTTAATTTTGATGTTTTAAGACATAGTTGACAAATACCTTATTACTTCTTTGACAAGGGAAAAAAAAGGAAGTTCTGTTGCCTAAAAATAATCTGGAGAAAACTATTCCATCATTAATTATATACACTGGTAATAGGCATTAATATAAAAGCAGAAATTAAAGGGAGAATTTCAAAATGGGAGAATGTAAAACTCATTTAAATTTCTCAAATAATAAATGAAACAATTATTTTACTATACATAATTTCAGTAGACTATACAGCCATGAGAAATTCATTTAAACATCTTCTGCCACATTTTATAACTTATCCTAGAATTCATGTGCCTCTGCCTTTTTTAGACTCAACACTACAGCAAAGGAGAAAAAATGTGTGAAATGTATAATCTAATTTTTTTAAAAAAGACTAAATCACCTCATATAACACCGTTAAAAATTTTAGCTTTCAATTACAACAAGCAATCAGTAATAAATAATTAAAATATAAAAAGCTAAATTTCCATAATAAATCATTGCCAAATAAGAATTTTAAATATTTTGAAATTAAAACTTTAGACAAAAATGTATTCATTTTTGATAAATCCATTATCGACATTTATAACTTTATTCTAAAATGACTTTATAGCTTCTTAAAGCTTCCCTATTTCTTACTGATAAACAAGAATTTCAAGTAATACTAATATAGTTGATATGGATTTGTAATACCATTTATAGTTCACGAATTTCTTTAAACTATTTTGACTCTACAACAAACCTGAAAGGCAAATAAGGTATTGTGTAGCTCAACACTGATGAAAGTAACTCTCACACCAAATTACAGAAAAAAACAAAGGCACTCACCAGATAGTCAAATCAACCTCATCAGACAAATGTTGCCTATAATCCAACTGTGCAAAAAGTGGAAATAGCACTTGTACTCCTCCAATTGAATGCATAGCACTTTGGATGGAATGTGTTAGAACTGCCTTCACGTCCTTGTAAAATAAAGAGCACAGCAGAGATTTCAATGATTTCTTTTCCAAAATTATTAGAAAGCACAATAGTAAATACAGGAACACTAAAATGTGACATTCCATGTGTTTAATAAAAGCTTCTAAATATACCTCAATAATACATCCAAAAATTACCATTTAAAATATTCTTAAATACCTGGAGCATGAGTGCATGCGGTGAATGAACAAAAATTGAAGGATTGTCCTTAGGAGATGATTCCAGGCACAGCTGGGCATCTGTAGCCCTTGGATTGTATGTGAAGGCAATGGCAGTAGAGAGTTTGCCATCATACAACAAAAGTTTGTGATGCTCAGCAAGGAAAAGGTCGCTTTCTGCTTTGAATTTAAACGTACCCTAAGAATCAAAAAGAGAACAGTTAAAATATAATAGTATATCATGAAAAGAAAATCTGATACAGATTTTATATCATCACAGATATAAAATTTTAAAGAGACATGCCAATGATAATTTTCTAGCAATATTAAATAAGATGACACTTCACTGTTTACTTCTATAATGGGATAAATTTATTTGAAAGCTGTAATGGAAATCAAGTGAACTTGACATTAAACCCTTACTTTAAAAAATGTAAAACTTTGTGCTTTATAGAGTGTATTTTGTCTTTTTTTTCTTATATTTTGTCTTTTTAAAAAATTGTGATAAAAAGCACCTAACATACAACCTACCATCTGAAGCATTAAGTGAATAATTCAGTAATGTTAACTATATTCACATTGTTATACAACAATCTCTAGAACTTTTATATCTCCCAAATATGAAACTCTATAGACATCGAATTCCCCATTTCCCACTCCCCACCCCAACCCCTGGCAACCACAATTCTACTTTCTGTCTCTATGAGTTTGACTATTTCATACGCCTCATATAAGTGGAATTATACTCTTCTGTCTTTTTGCGACTAGAGTATTTCAGGTAGTACAATGTTCTCAAGGTTCATATATGTTGTTGCATGTGACAGGATTTCCTTTTTTGTAAAGGTGAATAATATTCCATTGTGTGTGTGTATCACACTTTATCCATTCATCTGCTGATGGGCATTTGGGCTACTTCTATCTCTTAGCTACCATGAATAATGCTGCTATGAACATGGGTGTGCAAATATCTCTGTGATCTTGCTTTTAATTCTTTTGTATATATCTCAAGTGGAATTACTGGATCATATGGTAATTCCATTTTTAATTTTTTGAGGAACCTCTGTATTACTTTACATAGCAGTTGTATAATTTACATCCCCATCAACAGTACATAAGAGTTCCAATTTATCCACATTCTCACCAACACTGTTTGTTTTTGTTTCAGTGGCCACCCTAAAGGATGTGAGGTGCTACCTCATTGTAGTTTCAGTTAGCATTTCTCCAACGACTAGTTATATTGAACATCTTTTCATTTTATATGTTCTTTAGAGAAATGTCTATTGAACTTCTTCGCCCATTTTTTAAATTTAAAAATTTTTTTTTAATTTATTTTTTTGTTGTTGTTGAGTTGTAGGACTTATTCATATATTCTGGATATTATCCCCTTATCAGATATATGATTTGCAAAGACAGTCTTCCATTTTGTAGGAAACCTTTTCACTCTCTTGATTGTTTCCTTTGATGTGCAAAACTTTTTAAGTTTGGCATTATCTTATATATGTTTTGGTTTTGTTGCTTTTGTCATATTCAAGACACTGAATTTGAATTGCCAAATCTGATGTTATGAAGCTTTCCTCCTTTCGGGAATTTCATAGTTTTAGGTCTTACTTTGGGGTCTTTAATCCATTTCAAGCTAATTTTTGTATATGGTGTGAAGTAAGGGTGAAACTTTATTCTTTCACATACGGATTTCCAGTTTGCCCAACACCACGTATTAAAGACACAATCCTTGCCCCAGTATGCAACCTTGGCTCCCTTATCAAAGATCATTTAACCATATATGTAAAAGTTTATTTCTGGACTCTCTATTCTGTTCCATTGGTCTGTATGTCCACCTTTAAGCAAGTCCAACAATGTTTTTATTACTGTAATTATGTAATAAGATTTGAAATCCAGAAGTGTAAAGCCTCCAATTTTGTTCTTCCTTTTCAAGATTGTTTGATTATAGAGAGTCTCTTGAGATTCCGCATGAATTTTAGGACAGTTTTTTTATTTATATAAGAAATGCCATTGGGATTTTGATAGGAATTGCACTGAATCTGTAGATTGCTTTGGTAGTATGGACTTTTAACAACATTGTCTTCCACTCCATGAACACACGATGTCTTTTGTTTATTTGTGTCTACTTTAATTTTTTCAGCAACATTTTATACTTTTCAGTGTACAATTCTTTTAGCTCCTTGGTTGAGTTTACTCCTAAGCATTTTATTCTTTTTGATGCTATTGTAAAAGGGATTATTTGTCATACTTTCCTTTTCTAACTGTTCATTGTTAGTATTAAATATATAGAAACACAATTGATTTTTGTGTGTTGATTTTGTACAACTCTGCACAATTCATTTATTAGTTTTAACAGTTTTTGGTGAAATCTTTGGAGTTTTTGATATATAAAACTACTCAATCTGTAAAGAGATAATTTTACTTCTTCCTTTCCAATTTGGATGCCTTTAAATTTTTTTCTCTCACATAATTGCTCTACCTGGGACTTCCAATACTGTGTTGAATAGAAGTGGCAAGAACAAGTAAATCCTTACCTTGATCCTGATTTTAGAGGCAAAGCTCTCAGTTTTTCATGGTTGAGTATGACATTGGCTATGGGCTTTTCATATATGGTCTTTTGTATGTTGAGGTAGTTTCCTTCTGTTCACAGATGGTTTAATGTTTTTTTATCATGAAAAGGTGTTGAACTTTGTCAAATGCTTTTTCTGCATAAGTTGAAATAATCATGTGGCTTTTGTAATTCACTCTCTTAATGTGTATTACACTGACCAATTTTCATATGTTGAACAATCCTTGCATTCCAGGAATAAATCCTACTTTGTCATTGTATATAATTCTTTTAATGTGCTAATAAATTCAGCTTACTAGTATTTTTGTTGAGGATTTTTCCATCAATATTCATCAGAGATATTGGTCTGCAGTTTACTTTCTTGTACTATCTTTACCTGGCGTTGGTATCAGGGTAATACTGGCCCCATAAAGTAAGTTTGGAAGTGTTCCCTCCTCTTCAATTTTTTGGAAGAGTTTGAGGAGTACTGATGTTAATTCTTCTTTAAATGTTTGATAGAATTCTCCAGTGAAGCCAGCTAGTCCTGGGCTTTTCTTTGCTGCGAAGTTTTTCTATTATTGATTCAATCTCCTTACTAGCTATAGGTCTTTTCAGATTTTTTAATTTATTCTTGATTTAGTCTTGGTAGGTTGTATGTTCTAGAAATTTGTCCATTTCTTCTAGGTTATCCAATTTGTTGGCATCTAATTGTTCACAGTAGTCTCTTATAATCCTTTTCATTTTTGTGACATCGGTTATGTCTCCTTTTTCATTTCTGATTTTATTTGAGTTCCCTTTTTTTCTTCATCTAGTTAAGGGTTTGTCAATTTTTTTGATCTTTTCAAAAAACCAACTCTTAATTTCATTGATTTTTTTATATTGCTTTTTTATTCTCAATTTCATTTATTTCTGCTCTGATTTTTTTTTATCATTTCCTTCCCTCTGCTAACATTGATTTCATTTGTTTTTCTTTTTCTAGTTTCTTGCAGTGTAAAGTTAGGTTGTTGATTTAAGATATTTCTTCTTTTACAATATAAGCCTTTACCACTAAAAACTTCCCTCTTAGCTTTGCTTTCACTGAATACCATAAGTTTTGATGTAGTGTTTTCATTTTTATTTGTCTCAAAATATTTTCTAATTTCCTGTGTGATTTCTTCTTTGATCCAATGGTTGTTTACATGTACTATTTAATTTCTACATATTTGTGGATTTCCAAGTTTTCCTTTGGCAATTGGTTTCTAATCTCATTCCACTGTGGTCAAAAAAGATACTTGGTATGATTTCAATCTTCTTAAATTTGTTGACAATTATTTTGTGGCCTAATATGTGGTCTGTCCTGGAGAATGTTCCATGTGCACTTGAGAAGAATGCATATATTCTTACTGTTGTTGCAGGGAGTATCATGTATATGCTTGTTAAAGTCAGTTGGCCTATATTGTTGTTCAAGTCCTCTGTTTCTTATTGATCTTCTGTCTGATGGTTCTATTCACTATTGAAAGTTGACTATTGAAGTTTCCTACTATTATTTTGTTGCTGCCTACTTCTCCTTTCAATTCTGTCAAGGTTTGCATCAGACATTTGGGAGCTCTGATGTTAGATGCATGTATTTGTAATTGTTATACCTTCCTGGTGAATTGAACCTCATATCATTATATAATGTCCTTCTTTGTCTCTTTTGACAGTTTTTGACTTAAAGTTTATTTTGTCTTACATAAATATGAACACTCCTACTCTCTTTTGTTTATCATTTGCAAGTAATATTTTTCTCCATCCTTTCACAGCCTATGTTCTCCTAAGATATAAAGTAAGTCTCTTATACACAGCATACAGTTAGATCTTGTTTTCTTTTTTTTTATTTTTTCTTTAGTCCAGTCAGCCAATCTATGTCCTTTGACTGGGGAGGTCAATCTGTTTATATTTAAAGTAATTAGTGATAGGGAAGGACTTAATATTCCATTTGTTAATTGTTTTCTGTATGTCTTATAGCTGTTTTGTCTGTTTTCCTCTCTTGCTGACTTTCTTTGTGTTTCACTGACTTTTTGTAGTGACATGTGTTAAAGCAAATTAAAATGGAGATCAGGCCTGGAAAACCCTGGTACAGACAAAGACAGCTAGGCCTCAACATTGTTTAAATTGCAAACATAAGCAAAACTTAACTTGGGCCATTTCTTATAAATGCTTGTATCAGAGAAAAACAAAACTTAAGCACAACCGATCAAAAGCAGACAATTAACTTAAAATGATATAACCAGGGACTTAACAAGCTAGACCAAAAAAGGCACTTTATACCTACAACCCATCAAATACTTTCTTTGTTTTATTTCTACATTCACTCTATAAAAGCCTGTCTCTACACTTCATTATTGAAGTTCAAACCCTCTTTCAGTTTGGCGCTTCCTGATTTATGAATTGCTCAAACCCTCTTTGGTTTGGTGCTTCCTGATTCCTGATTCATGAATTGCTCAAACAAACTAAACTTTTCTTTCTGTCTTAGTTTATCTTTAACACATGCTTTGATTACTATCTCATTTCCTTTTGTGTCTCTTCCATAGGTATGTTCTTTGTGGTTATCATGGGAATTACATGAAATACCTTAAAGTTTGGTAATATATTTTAAGCTGATAATGACTTCAATTGCATACAAAAACTAC